ATGAAGAATGGATTAAAAAAGTATATAAAAAAACTTAAGGATGAAAATTATATAAAATATCAAAATTAAAGACTAAAAATGAAATTTGCCTTTTTTGAAATTTGAATTGATTTGAATTGGAGCGGGCAACTGAAAAAATGGAAGATAAGACAGCTGGCGCGAGAAGAGAGAGGGATTTACGCAATTAAAATTGCAGTGTTGGCCAAAATGACGTCGTTTTGGATAGGAAATCTCTTTTTTTTTTTTTTTGGGGGGCATGAAGTGTACCGGCCGAAATTTTGTGTACCGGTCGGTACACAAAATTTCGGCCGATGCACCGGATTTTGATCGAAATAATCGAATTTTGACCGAAACGAAATTTAATGCTGTACCGTTTCGGCCAAGGGTCAAATTTGGTACGTACCGACCGTACCGGCCGGTACGGTACGAGATTGACTTCTTTGATTGAGATTAATGTTTAAAAATAGTTACTTCCCCATTCAACTTTAATTGTTCTATCTTCTAATTTGAGATTGAGAAATCTAAAATTAATTATTGACTTACTTTTTAAAAATTTATTTAATGATTTTATGTGTATTTTACTCTTATTTTAAAAAGATAATTACCACGTATAAATATTAAGCACACCTATTTTAGTAATGGACCGACTTGATCACTTTCAAAGGTTGAGAACAGTTTTACAAATGAGACTAAAAGTTAAGACTAACTTTCCTTTACTTTCCTTTTTTTCTTTTTTTTTTTCGAAGTACTCTTGCATCCTATTTTATCTCTTTGCAGTCATCCTCTCATTATTCAATTATGTTCTTTTTCTGGTGATAGTGAAGACTTGGCTTTTATTATCACAATCTTTGGAAAAATTAAAGTCAGCTGAACCCTGTGGGTACTCTTCAGCAACTTGTACTCTTCGTTATGTTCTGAATTAAACTCTGTAAGTAGTTCTCTTCCCATCAGTGTTGGGAGATTGCATGGAAAGTGTTTGCTTTATCGCCTCTCAGAAAAGAGCCAGTTTGAAAACGCATATATTTTTTCATCTACGTTATCTGGGTTTCTCACCCATCCCTATTCAAGTTTTAGGCTGTTAAGAGCAAAGCTTCTAGTAGAATTCTGCTAATCAGATGAATTATTCTCAACTTGCAAGCACTAGTTCGCATTCACCAATTTATGGGATTCAACGCTAGTGCAGGTGTCGTTGTTTAGATAATTCGTAAATAGTCATTATTCTTAGACTATTGTACTTTTACTATATTGCTTCTTAAGAGAAGAAAACATGCTTGAATAAATTGATAAATGCTTTAACAATGAAGTTGCTACTGTTTGGGCAACTTCATGATCCAACACTGTTGAAGTCTTCGACTGCTTTCACATCTGAAAATTCTGAGGATGTTTCCTCGAGGAAAACAGTCCGATGCTCAAGTCAGCAATACTCAATATTTTAGAGAGAGATGCTCTCAAAGAGTAATTGCAGAGAGAGAAGCGTAGTGGAGTTAATCCATTGCATGGAGGTAGTTGGAGGGTATTTATAGCCCCAAGTGCTGACATGAGCTCAAACATGTATTCATCCGATTGGTCCACGTGTTACTGCTCACGTGGGCATGTCTCCTTATCTTGGGCCAGTGGGTGTAAAATTGGGCCTGCTGTATGTGGCCCGAAGTGGGTGTTGGGCCTAATCCAAACATTACTCCCCCCTTAGTGTTCAGTTGACAAACTGGGTTTGACCCTGAGGGATGAGGAGCGATGTTCTATGGTTCATGGCAAAGCCGAAGTGAAACGTGTGACGCTGGGCCACTGTGGGCTGGAGCCGAAGTAAAATATGTGACATTAGGTCACTGTGGGTCGTAGCTGAAGCAAAACATGTGACTGGGTCACTGTGGCCGTAGCCGAAGTAAAGCATGTGACACTGGGTCATTGTGACCGGAGTCGAAGTGAAACGTGTAACGCTGGGTCACTGTGGGCCGGAGCTGAAGTAAAACATGTAACACTGGGTCACTATGGCCGGAGCCGAAGTAAAGCATGTGACATTAGCTCATTGTGGCCGGAGCCGAAGTGAAACGTGTGACGCTGGGTCACTGTGGGTCGGAGCCGAAATAAAACACGATGCTGGGTCACTATGGCCGGAGCCGAAGTAAAGCATGTGACACTGGGTCACTGTGGCTGGAGCCGAAGTGAAACGTGTGACGCGGGGTCACTATGGCGGGAGCCGAAGTAAAATAGGTGACTCGGGGTCACTATGGTCAGAGCCGAGGTAAATAATGATGACCGGAGTCATAGCGGCCGGAGCCGAAGTAATAAGTAATGACTGGAGTTATGTGGCCGGAGCTGAAGTAATAAGTAATGACCGGAGTCACAAGGGATTTTTTGTAGTAGGGCGAAGGCGAGCAGATAGTGAACGAGCTAAACCAACCAACCCAGACGAGCTGAAATGAGCGACCTTAATAGTCACTATAATGTAGGTCTCCGTGATACAGAGTAAATCTAAGGGAGTTGGTGACGATCTAACATTTAATGTTCAAAACTAAGGTGAATCTCTAATTTGTTACGACCTGATCTCTAAAGATTTTTCGAATTTGGAATCTCTGAAGAGATCTCGGATTAGTAACGAGCTGATTCCTCGAGATTTTCAAATTTTGAATTAGGGCTAATCTCTGAGGCGATCTCAGATTTGTTATGATCTGATTCTTGTAAATCGTGGCGAATCTCTGAGTAGATTTGCTTAGGGCGTTTGGTATTCTTCTGCCAACGGTAGATATCCTTTTGCCTCCCCGCAATAAATGCTGACTCAGCATTTGAAGAGACGTGACAACTAAAGCCGGCGGGCGTTACATGCCAGGCAATAAGTGACTGCCATGCGTAAAGCTTTGAGTGGTTGACAGAGAGGCGCGTACGGTGATTATGGCACGGCGCTTAACCCCTTTGTCACTTGGTTAAATGCTAAATTTGGTCCCTCAACTTTAGTGAGTTGCACATTTTTTGTCCCTTAGCAATTTTTTGCACTTTTTTTATCCCTCAACTATACAAAATGCACTCCGTTAATCCTTCTGTCAATTTGAGCCGTTAACTCGGCCACATGGCATTTTTTATATTTTTTTTAAT